AACAAGGGGGAATTTCGTTTTCGACCAATCAGCGCATTTGTTTACATTTTAGCTCTAAGCCAATCAGATCGCGTGAATCGCGATTTTTATAGAAAATACATAGGTGAACATAGGTGGTCACTTTCAAGCTACTCTGCAAGCGGATTTTTAATATTTTTCCATGAAATTTATATATGTTGTTCTTGTAAGATTTCTCTTCAAATTCCTCGTGGCGATTTTTTATTTATGGCGTTGTTACGAAGTTATCGACCTTCAAACTTTGCCGTGCACAAGCTTAAATATTAATGCACTTCGATTTACAAAACCACGAACGAATTATTGTACTAAAAGCGAGTTATATAAAAGTTACGTTTAAAAAGCGCTTAAACATAATTTATTAATATCCTGTTTACAAATATATATACGGCCCGTTTCTGGGGAGGGACAAATACTTGACATATGACATCATTGACATGTCATTTCTTGCTGAACAACATGACCATGGACGGCGCGTATCTAAGAGCAGATTATTCTCGACTTTATTTTGTAAAAGAAAGCGAATAACTTACCACACATTACGATTGTGCTCCCTCAAACCTTCGCCAAGCATTCACTTTATTAAAAAGCTCATGGACAGTTTGTGTGTTCGTCGTTTCGACAAGTTCTTCGTCGTCTGCATCTTGATCTTGCATCTCACTATTATCACTGTCTTCGTCTTCGTCGCTCGAGTTTGCAACCGATTCTTGAACAGCACTTGGATCGAAATGGTGGACTGCTTCGTTTGCCGTTTTGCCAAGTGAAGAAACCTTCGTTGTCAAGAGATCTTTACAAATCTGGCAGATACTAATATCGGGAAGAGTGCACTGAATGTGGAATGAATGACCACAACCTTGAAAGACGCGCCATAACGTGCTTTGGCGATTGTACTGGAGGTTATCGCATCTTCTGTTTTAAGAGAATTAAAGGTATGGAATTTATTATTTTCGATGATTGCCACTGCCAATCTGCCAATACTTGTTCAATTCTGTCAAACATTTTGATGATTATAACATATATGACATATGATTATAACATAATTTTGCATTCAAAATCAAAGTTTAAGTCAAGAGTTTAAGATCTTTCCAAACATCGAAATTAATAATGAGTGTTTTAAAACTAAAGATGGATACTATTTTAGGCTGGAACTGGTTAACGTGAATCAATCAAAATATACAACTTGATTGTGGTCAGTTGGAGTAGGGTGTTACTAATTTAGCCAACTTACCTATCTGGATTAGGTGATTTTTCCACAGAAGAAAATCCAAGTGGGAGAAATTTTTTGGTTACTACTTGATTGCCGAGCCATTTTGTAATTGTTTTTCTCTGTCTGCGGCTGCCTGGGTTGTTGGGATGCCATACCGGGGTGGGAGTGGATAACTTCGAACTTGTTGACCAGGAATTCTGCAGCTCTTGCTTTGAGGTTGTCAATGCGCTTCTTACTGAAGTTGAATTTCCTGGGGGGGCACAAATGACGACTGAAACTCATGCAGTTCTTTCTTGCAGGCATCAATCTTTTTGGCCTTCTCACGTATCTGTTCAGCCGTATCTGTCTCATTGGTTCTGGCTCGAAGCACTACTGAGTGGAAATTTTCCACAGGGTACTCGTCAAAGGCTGCCAGGAACTGCTGGACAATTTGGTGCATGGGGTGAGTATTATCATCCCAAAATTTAAGGGTGGAAAGAGCTACCAGTAGAGCTTTGTCGTAATGCTTGCGACAAAATACCATCAACATTATCCAGCAGCGAAAAAGTGATTTGCAGTAGAGATCGTAGTTGCTACATTTAAAGACAATAGAGTATATACTCAGGACTAGTGGTACATAATTGTCAATTAGGTTGATTAATGTCAGAAATTCAATATCCTTGCAATTTGAGAAGACCGACATGATACTATCTCGAACAAGTGTCCAACCTCCATAGATTACTTCAAGAAGTAGGGAAATTCGCCATGGTTTTGGTTTCTTTGCTAGCTTTGCCTTTGCTCCAAAGAGGAAGGAATATAGATCTGCAAAAATTGGGTGGAAATTTAGTAACACCCACTCTCTGGAGTTTAATGATACATGCAAAGGACCAATCATTGGAACAATATTCTTGCAGACCATGGGTAAAGATACTGATGCTGTGTTGTACACTAGTTGTCGCATGAAAAACTGCATGGGCCAATCCCCAGGAAAGGGAGCTGCAAAGTGGGTGAGATAGTCTTCCAAGCCATTAGATAGCATGTGACTAAAAGCAATGAGTAGGTCATTGTAAGATTTCAAGGGTAGTTTCAGACTGTCAACAAGCTTAGTATTATCCATGCATCGCATCTGTCTGATTTCAGTTTGTTGGTAATCATGAATTGCTAGCCTATGCCTTTCTGCCTCAGGATCAAAATACTTTGCTACCACCCAGTCTGGCATGTTGCTTGCATAGGTTTTGGAAAACT